AGTCCCTTAGCTCTTTCTTTGATGTTCCCCTCGTCCCGTGGAACACCCACATGGTATGCATCGCACGCTTGAGTGACAAAGATAAATGCGGAGAGTGCGGCGGTCATCGGCCAGCTACCCACTTTGCTTCCCGTGCACTACAGCACCTTCCATATACGGCGAGGGGAGTATGAAGCGCCCAGAGCTGGAGCCACCACCAGTACTGGTGCAGCGTCCACGATCCTACAGATCAGACCGCAGCCTTCACAGGGTCGTGGTTGATACCTGCATGATAACAAGCCCCAGCGACACACCAACCCCGGCAAAGGAGGGGCCGGACAACGGTCCATGGCGAGACTCTCCCGAAGGTCATGGTCTCAGAGCGTTCCGGAGCCTGAGCTGGAAGAACGTCGCCAAGGGGCGGAGAGAGCCGTGAGAGCTGGTGAAGACCACGGCGAGTGGAGCTCCAGACCGCCGGTGGTCCCAGCATGTCGGTGGATCAGGAGCAGCGTCGCCGGCTAGGAGGAAAACCCTCACGAATCGAGGTTTAACGATGTCACGGGAGCATTGCAAGAAACTGGAGGATCATCGTCCACGGTCGCAGCCTGTCCGGCCCTAGGATCCGTACATGCACGACTCTGAGCCCTGGGGTGCCTGGAGCGTTCCGCTAAAGATAGCGGGAATAGGCGGTATGTGGCCAGGGTCCCTGGGTGTCCATGGTGTATAAGGTTGCCTCGAGGCGAGATCCCAGTCCACTCGTTCTCCCGCCGTGCCACAGGAGCATGTTTCAGACCTTGCAAATGAAGTTGTTCATGCCGATCTAGGCGACCTATTGAACGGCTGAAGGATCGGAGCGAAGTCGTCATCTGTGTTGAACATGCCTCGTACCTGCTGTGCTGACATGGGTTCGTCCGCAGCGTGTACTTGGACGATGCTCGTCGGAAGAGGCATCTGTTTGAAGTTAGGCAATGTCAACTTCATGCAGAGCCGAAAGTAAGTCGTCAATTGACTCGGATGATGTCAGCAGCGAAGAACATACCCCCGGATCTTCAAGGATGCCATCGCGAGATGTGGTGAAATCTTCGCCTGCACCACTGTGGTATCTGCACGAAGGCCATTTTGCCACGACCGGCAGACGCAGGACCTAATTGACCTTTCGAAGCCGGTCGAAGGCACCGAGGCAGTGCACGAAGATTCCGGCGCTTACCATGCATCTTGCAACAATCTCTCACCACGACCTCCTCACGGGAATGGTACTTATCCTAGGGCGACATGTGTCTCTGCTAGACAACAGTGCAATGATGATCAGCAAACTGTGACTTGTGGCCAACAGCTCCATGACAATGCACCCCCAGAATCGGATCCGACGATGGCAGAGACGTACTTCGCCCAACGCCAGCAAACAATGTGGCCGCAGAGGTAGCTTGTTCATCCTGTTCGATGAGCCACGCCACACTCATATCATCGTGCCGCTGGTTTCAGGAGGCAGCATGGCATCACCAAGGGGCTCATGTGCCAGATCCAAGGGCCAGGTTGCGGGGCAAATCGTTGCAAAACGAGGCAGGGAGGCTTGGGTTCTCTGACGGGGAAGATTGATTGTATGGCCACATCTCCACAACAAACGTTCCTCTGAGCCCTTTCCTAGTCGTCACCGGACTATGGTTCGAGAAGACTTCGCCGGTTGTCAGAGATCGGGGAGCGAGACAAAAAGTGAGCGCTTTGGTTTTTGTCTGCTGCATTGCTTACAGATGGGGCGGTCGGCAGGCCCTTTTGTATGGTCGGTACGATGCTCAGGCCTGGCTCTGCAAGAACCAATGTTAACAATAAAAACAGCGGATAGCCCAGCGCGTGAGGCGAGCAACACAAAAGACGAGAGCCGGCAATCTCCCAAATGACACGGAAGGACCGGGCGCTTAGGGAAGGCGTTTCACAATTATGTGGGATGGGCCAGCACCGACATGGACTCACGAACTTTGGAAAGCGACTCGCTTTACCGCAACGCTTTGGAGTATAAAACAGCGCAGACAATTGCAGAGATGGCACAAGCGCAAGCACCTCGCGTCTCGCATCTCACGAAAACTCCCCGATCCATCCCACCACCGCCTCCATAGCTACTATGTACGCTCAGCCGGCTGCGGCCAACTACTATTCCTCCCCGTCGCACCCCACTCCTAAGCAACGGGGCTATCGCATGTGCGATTCATGTGGCACCATCGAGCAGCCAAACACCCGCTTCCGCTTGTGTGGTGGTTGCGTGAGTGTCCCTGTCTGGCATTGTTTGCATCAGAAGGACTGACCCCTCCGTTCCATATCGCCCACAGATGACAACACAGTACTGCGTCAGTACCCCTTTCGGTTATGATCGTGTGTCATGAGCTGACATTAGACCGTAGTCCCAGGAATGCCAAAAGTCGCATTGGGCTTCGCATAAGGCGATCTGCCAACACACCTCCAGCCAGATCTCAACTTCCAAGCAACACGCCATGGGAACTGGCATCGACGAAGACGTCGTCAGGGGCCTCCGAAAATTCACTTCTGCGCACTCTACTCTTCTCGGGTGGGCCGGGTTCCAGGCGCTACAGCTCAAGCGTATGCCCTCGAATGTTCGCCAGCAAGCGCTCCTCGTCGAGCTGAATTATCGTCCGTCGTCCGATTCTCTCCGTCGGTTAGTATCCGAACGCCTTGGTCGTCAAACGCGCGCCACTGACCTATTCATACGCAGCTTCTCAGTAAAGGCGACACACCTTGTCCCTCGGACATATGTCACAGACAACGATCCGCTCGTCGGCGAAGACATCCGCCGTCGCGAGGAGCGGTGTCGTAAGACCGGCGGTATCGGCACGGCTGTCATCATCATCCAGTGCGGCGAGATCAGTCAGGTAATGCCCGTCGAGGTCGACTCGCCGTCCAAGATTTCATGGGACTCGCGCGACGACTGGCTCGACGTGCTCCGGCACTTTGTCGACACCGGCCGCACGGACTTCAAGCCGGTATCGACGACGTCCAGGGGGTGAGTCGCCACTAGCTTCGGCCCGACTGTTCCATACCTCAGTCCTGACACGAGGCGTTTTCGCAGGATCGTCTACGGATAAGCACGCACACGATGCACTGCGCTTTGCTCTTCCCATACTAGACTGGCTCCATTTCGGCCTCATTTTTTTGGCGGCGGCGATCGTCGCGTGGGCGTGCAGGCCGCGCCTGACCCGTTCCCCCTCCGCCCCACCTCCGATTCAAGGACACTCTGTTCGCACTGTACCATATTGCATCCTTTCGTCGCTTTCTAGTTCCGTGCCGTCCTGCCTTCGGCTCTTCGGTTCTTCGTTTCGTTCCTCATCACCTCATCGCCTTCTCCATACCTTACGTTCAGAGTACGATAAGTTATGCCTATATTTTTCCCCATGTAGCTCAAAATGTACCACTATGACGACGACTTTTTGTACCATCTACTGCGCTCTTTGTTACATTCCGAGCCCAGCCTTGAGCCCACTGCCAGGCTTTTTGGGCCGGGCTTGATGGGTTCGCGGGCTTTGAGGCCCGGCCCGCACATCACTAAGTGCTACTGTGAGCTGTGAAACTTGCGCTCAGAAATTCACTCTGATGTGCGAAGGCAAAAGAGCGGATAGCTTGGGGATGTGCAGATGGGGCTTGTATACGCCTGCAATGTGAATTTAGAAATCTGACAAGAAATGGATGTACTCCGCTCTAAAGAATCTATGCATGGGAATGCTACATGTTAATATTGTGAGTCTCTTCCAAGTCCCTGAAGTCCTTGCTAGGTCCATGGGTAGAACGGAAGCCGAGTCACATAGCCGCTTCAACAGTCCCAAGATGGAAGCCAGAAGAAAAGGAACAAGACCGACTCGACAGTGTCCCCGACGTCGTCGTGTATCGATGTCACGACCTAGGCCAGGGTAGAGTAGAGGTAGGAGTCGGGGAAAGCCCCCTTAATATGCTCCGCAATCCAGTAGTACGGCGACGCATAGGTAACGTCGATAGAGTCTATCTGGCTGCAGGTTCCGCCGGTGATAATGCCGACGATGCGACTTTTGGCGTCAATGACAACAGACTCGGAATCCCCGGGGGCGGAGAAAACGCCATCCTTCTTGTCATATGAATGGATTGCTATTTCCATGGATGTCGAACGGATGCCAGAGTCGTCATATTCCCAGACAAAGGATTCAATGCCGGTCGCTCGACTGATGGTGACATCGGTGGTGTTGCTGTTCTTGACGACGATGAGACACAGTTCCCCATTCTTGTCGAGCATGGTCGGGTGGCGCAGCTCGTCTTCCTTGATGACACCTCAAAGTTGTAGGAGGCCGTCATCCAGATATTTGAAGGAGGTGCGGGACTTGGCATGAGAGTACATCTTGCTCATGAAATCGTCGGGCATAAGTCTGGCTCCTGAGTATGACAG